TCATCATCATCATCATCATCATCATCATCATCAGCATCATCATTATCAGCATGATCATCATCATCATCATCATCATCATCATCATCATCATCACCACCACCATCATCCCCCTCCTGTCCATCTCCTTTTCCTCATCCCCCTCCCCTTGCCCCCCCCTTCCCTCCAAATGGTCATCCCCTGCTACTGCTGATGCTGATCCTCATTATCATGGTCCTCCTCCTCCTTCTCCTCCTCTTCCTCCTGCTCCTCCTGCTCCGTCCCTCCTCCTCCGTCCCCTCCTCCTCCTCCTCCCTCCTCCTCCCTCCTCTCCTCCTCCTCCTCCTCCTCCTCCCTCCTCCTCCTCCCTCCCTCCCTCCCTCCCTCCCTCCCCTCCCTCCCCTCCTCCTCCTCCTCCTCCTCCCTCCTCCTCCTCCTCCTCCTCCTCCTCTCTCTCCTCCTCCCTCCTTCCTCCTCCTTCAACACCAAGCCCCATAACCATCATGATCAGAATCATCATCACCACCATCACCATCAGCATTACCAGCATCATCCTCAGCATCATGATCATCATCAGCAGCAGCAGCATCAGCATCAGCATTGCCATCATCATCATCATCTCATCATCATCATCATCATCATCATCATCATCATCATCAGCATCATCATCATCATCATCATCATCATCAGCAGCAGCAGCTTCATCATCATCATCATCAGCATCATCATCATCATCAGCATCAGCATCATCATCATCATCAGCATCATCATCATCGTCAGTAACATCAGCATCAGCATCAGCATCAGCATCAGCATCATAATCGTAATCAGCATCAGCATCATCATCATCATCAGCATTACCATCACCACCATCATCCTTACCCCTGATTCATCATACTAATCATCATTATTATCAGCAGCATCATCATCATCATCAGCATCATCATCATCATCAGCAGCAGCAGCATCATCAAGTCCCTATCGTCCAATCATCATGTTCCTCCTCCTCCACAAATCCGGACGCATGCTCACTATTCCTATTTCCGTCTGCCCGTTTATGTTCCTCGTCCTCTCGTCCTAGTCATAATCATCCTCCCCCTCCGACTATTACTCACCCTTCTCGTTCGCACAGCCAGCGTCAGTAGTAGTCGTACCAGTCGTAGTCCCACCAGCCCTTTGGGCGTGAGTGGTTTAGGGAGTCCGCTCTGTTCTCGACCCCCCTTCTTCCCCTTCGGGGAGGGGTTTACCCCTCCCCCTACCCCCTCCCCCTGGACCTGGAGGGGGCCTTCCGCGGGTGGTCAGAGGGTCCTTGTTCTATCCCTGGGAGGGCTAAAATTCGACACCCCTCACGAGGATCGTCGCCCCCAGGGGGGGGACACTGAAAAATGCTCGCCCCATCTGCGACCGATTGCCCCCAAGATGGCCTCATCAGGCCCCCAAGACGCTCCAAGAGGCGACCCAGAGAGCCTTCGGACGTTCCCCAGAGGCTCAAAAGAGAGCCCAAGAGGCCCCAACACGGCCTCCAAGAGGCCTCCCTATTGCCTTGGATACGACTCCTCCTCCTCCTACTACTACTACTACTATCCCCACTACTGCTACTGCTACTGCTACTGCTACTGCTACTGTTACTACTACTACTACTACTACTACTACTACTACTACTACTACTACTACTACTACTACTACTACTACTACGACTACTACTACTACTACTACTACTACTACTACTACTACTACTACTACTACTACACTACTACTACTACTACTACTACTACTACTACTACTACTACTACTGCTACTACTACTACTACTACTACTACTACTACTACTACTACTACTACTACTACTACTACTACTACTACTGACTACTACTAATACTACTACTACTACTACTACTACTACTACTACTACTACTACTACTACTACTACTACTACTACTACTACTACTATACTACTACTACTACTGCTACTACTACTACTACTACTACGACTACTACTACTACTATACTACTACTACTACTACGACTACTACTACTACTCTACTACTACTACGACTACTACTACTACTACTACTACTACTACTACTACTACTACTACTACTACTACTGCTACTACTACTACTACTACTACTACTACTACTACTACTACTACTACTACTACTACTACTACTACTACTACTACTACTACTACTACTACTACTACTACTACTACTACTACTACTACTACTACTACTACTACTACTACTACTACTACTACTACTACTACTACTACTACTACTACTACTACTACTACTACTACTACTACTACTACTACTACTACTACTACTACTACTACTACTACTACTACTACTACTACTACTACTACTACTACTACTACTACTACTACTACTACTACTACTACTACTACTACTACTACGAGGGGCCCGAACGACTCGCACCAGGACGAGGTGCCCGAACGCCTCACACCACGAGGAGCCCGAACGACTCACACCAGGACGAGGGGCCCGAACGACTCACACCACGAAGAGCCCGAACGACTCACACCAGGAGGAGGGGCCCGAACGACTCACACCAGGACGAGGCGCCCGAACGACTCACACCACGAGGAGCCCGAACGACTCACACCACGACGAGGGCCCCGAACGACTCACACCACGAGGAGCCCGAACGAGTCACACCAGGAGGAGGGGCCCGAACGACTCACACCAGGACGAGGGGCCCGAACAACTCACACCACGAGAAGCCCGAACGACTCACACCAGGACGAAGAGCCCGAACGACTCACACCACGAAGAGCCCGAACGACTCACACCAGGAAGAAGGGCCCGAACGACTCACACCAGGACGAGAGGCCCGAACGACTCAAACCACGAGGAGCCCGAACGGCTCACACCAGGACGAGGGGCCCGAACGACTCACACCACGAGGAGCCCGAACGACTCACACCAGGAAGAGGGACCCGAAGGACTCACACAAGGACGATGGGGCCGAACGACTCACACCACGAGGGGCCCCAACGACTCCCACCAGTCGTCGTCGTCGTCGTCGTCGTCGTCGTCGTCGTCGTCGTCGTCGTCGTCGTCGTCGTCGTCGTCGCCGCCGCCGCCGCCTTCGTCGTCGTCGTCGTCGACGTCGTCGTCGTCGTCGTCGCGGTTGTGGTCGTCGTCGTCGTCGCGGTCGATATCGTCGTCGTCGTCGGGTGCGTCGTCGTTGTTAGGATCATCGCTGTGGTCGTCGTCTCCGCTAAATCCCTCTTGCCTCCCATCGCTTTCTCTCCCTCCTCCTCCGCCTCGTCCTTCTCCCGCTCCCACCACAAGGAGGATGTACAAGGAGGCGGGAGGAAGGAGGAACAGGGGAGATATGCGGGGGCAGGCGGAAACACGCCTGAAGAACACGACTGTCGGCATGCTTCGCAAGAGTTGCTGTTTTGAGATGGGCTGGTGGGGATACGCGAAGCGTGAAGAATTTGGAACTAAGATTACAGCAACTCGTGAATGTGTTTTTGACGAACATATGTAAACAGCAATAGTCTGAACCACATTTCCGACTCTGACCAATGTTCACAGCATCCTTTTGCTACTTATACCCTGCCGAAAAATATGATCATAACTCTTAGTTTTCCTCATCCTGATCCTCATCCCCCTTCCCCCTCCACCTCCTCTTTTTACGCGGGACACACTTACGCTGAAATGCTTGAACGGATCACGGACAAACAAAAGAATGCCGACTTTGGCAGAATAAATCACAAATGAAAGCTGCGGTGCGGCGAGTGCAAAAATTGAAAGGCAAAAGAGAATGTCCTCCCGCTCCTCCTCGCCTTGTCCTCCTCGTCCTCCTCCCCCCCCTCCCCCGGATGACCGCGGCCCCGAAACTTCTTCCGTCGGTGCCACCGCAAACCCCGAACGCACGGCGCCGGCCCCCTGGTAGCAGCCGCTGCCCCCGAACGCCTGGCCAGAGCTCCCTGTCATCAACCAGCAGCCGCCCGAGTGAGTGTGGGAACAGCTGCGCCCAGAACCGTTGCCTGAGGAGCCGCAGTCGGCCGCGAGCGCCGGCCGCCTCTCGCCACCGCCCGGCGCCCCCCGCCGCGGCCCAGCGCCAGCGCGCCCCCGCCCCGCGCCCCGCCCCCCGGCCGGCAGCCAGCTGCCAGCGCCTGCTCCAGCGCTCCTCCCCTGCCAGCGCGCCTGCGGCGCGCTGAGCGCCAGGCGCCCCGCCGCGCAGCCCGCCAGCGCCGCAGGCCGCAGGGCCCGTCAGCCAGCGGAGCGCGCCTGGCAGCCCCGGCGCCTCAGCGCAGCCCGGCGGCGCGCCCGAGCTGGCGCGCCAGCTCGCAGCTGAGAGCTTCGCGGGGCGCGCGAGCTCTCCCCGCCGCGCGTCCTCGGGCAGCTCGCACACATGCGCGAAGAGCGAGCGCCGCGCCTCGTCGCCCCAGGCAGCCCGAGGTCCCCAGCGCGATCGCAGTCAAGCGATCGCTCGGTTACCTGTCGTGCTTCTCCCGCTCGGCCCCTCTGGAGGCTTCGCTTGCCCATGTCTCAAGCGAAACTGACGTTTTGGAGAATATGAGGGCGACTTGAACCACGTAGGGACTCAATTTTGGGAGGACTTCTCACGCGGAACTGCAGTGCTTCTGCTAATTATGTACAGAAAGCATCGGAATCACTGTTGTTTGTTTGATGGCTCTGTGGTTTAGACCTAGGCGTCGCGATCTGCGTGAGGGGTGCATCCGATGTTCAGAATGTTGAGGATGCCCCGAACGAACTGGCCAGACAGTTCGCGGAAGGCTTCACCAGTAATCGCCTCTGAGGTCCACTCCCTCGGAGAGGTGCGTGTGCTAATGCGCGCATACACATGTACATATACTACAAGATATACACACACGTGCAGAAATGCACACAGAAACACGAGCACACCTACGTGTGCGAATGATACATAAACGATCAAGCCAGAAAAAAACAAAAACTGCTGTCATGGATTGTTCGAGACGCGGGACGTCTGGCCAGCGGGGGGGCGCGCGGGGCGCGCGCGCGCGGCCTCCTCGAGCCGGGCGGAAACCCTGGCGAGGCGGGACTGCAGGTCCGACGCGGAGCTGCCGTGGGCGCTCTGCAGCGCCTCCGAGGGCAGCAGCAGGGGCCTCCCAGGTGGGGTCGCAGCAGCTGGGGCCGGAGGATCGCACCGCATCGACGATGCATCGCCGATGCATCGGCGATATATCGGTGACAGTACTGGCGACGTCGGCGGTGCATCGGCGCCGTCGGCGTGCAGAACACTAGGC